ATGAAAAACTTTCGTAGGACGTATTTTCTTGTAAACTTCATATTTACTGAGATATCGCACTTTGACGCACTAATGAGCAACCCTGTATATATAACAGTAAAATGTATCAAATCAAAACAAGCAGTTGAAAAACGAGTCACCTAAAAATTACTGTTTACCTAAAAAAACTATTTATATACGTAGTAACCGGTCAAGTAAAATGATCGACCTCCAGTTATGGAAACAATAAGGTAAAGAAACAAGTATTCAGTATAGTATGTACAGTCTAGCCATTTATTACAAATCTAAATAAGTCTAAAAAGACACAAATCTAAAAATTCAATTAATGATACAATAAAAAAGTGAATTACTCTATCAAAGATGATGTAAGAGTAGCGTTCATTTTTTGACTGCAACTTTCATTAAAAATTAAAACTTAGATGTTGGTGTTTGTGTGTGACCTCAGTACTGGTATACAGAGTGATTTACGTAGACCGTGCATTAGAAGTTTTCCAACTTGCATATCAAAAACTATAAGAGATAAATTAACAAAACTGAGGTTGCCCATCTGCAATTGGAAAGCCAATCCAACGAATGCTAAATGAATTAGCGGATTGCATTTAAAATAAGAAAGTTAGGTTATACTTCTCATACACCCTGCATAATAACTGGAGGGGTAAATATATTTTACATGGTTTCGGCACTACTCGTTATTTAGACATTTAGAAAATTGGAAATGCACGATTTACGTGAATCACCCTATATATAGAGCGTTTCCGGAATGGTGGAGAAGGTTTGTAGCGTATTTTTGTCGTTCTCAATTCATTCTCTTTTCTGTCAATTGCCATTTGAAACGATTAAAGCACACCAATATCCAAAGACTCTGCTCTTCTAAAGCATAGATGGTGGTTAAAATATAGATAAGACGTTGTTACAACGAACAAGAGTTTTCTCGTTAACCGTTGACCAAATCCTCATTAATCTTGTAACACTCTTGGCATATTTTAATGTATCCAAATAATATTAAGATTGAGCATTCATAAATTCGTCGATAATTTTTTGACAGGTATTCTGTCATGACAGGTGCGCTGCATTCTAAAAACTAGTATGTTCAAATACCTAGAAATAAACTATTGCTACTCACCAACAATCGTTCGACCAAAGTTTTCTAGAATTAATTCGACAGTTGAGATCATAAATATTAAATAAACACACATCAGGGTTACAGAAGAAGCTTTTCCTGTTTGACAGCGACTCCTAGGTGACCTTTCTTTTTCTGATGCTTATTTAGACTACTCTTATCATGGTAGCGATTACCACACACTGGACACGAATATGGAGTTTCTCCAGTATGCATCCTAAGATGGATCTGTAAATTACAATAACATTTCCGTTAATTTTTTGTCTATGTTTCGATAAATAGTATTACATATAACGATTACAATCATAAGCTAGTAGACTTAAAATGACTCAAATGAGCTTTTGAAATAAACAAATAGTAAATTTGTTTTAAAGGCTGCATTTTCAAGGGCAAATGACATTTGAAATTCCATGAAAAACATGCATTTCGGTTTTGGACAGACACATGAGACCTGACATTGACCTGCAAATTTCTGCAAAAACCTGCAAATACAGTTTTTTGGAAATCTGCAAATGTCGCAAGCGCTAGTCAATCTTGTGTGTGTGTTAAATATGTTTAAAGTTAGTTTTTTAGAAAGTTAAGTTTTAAAACACTAAAAGATGCAGTGGCATCTTCTTTCATGGGTTAGTGAACCAATGCCAGAGGAGTCAAATATAAAATCAGAGATAAAACGCGTTGCTCCAAAAAGGCTCTAGGATAACGACATAAAACGGCTTTAGGGTCCATAAACCCGTTTATCAAAGTTTGCAAGATAGTTTTATGAAACTAATTTAAGGTCATAAAGCTTCATCATACTCATATCGTTCCTATTTAAAAAATATCAATGTTAATTGTTTTATTTTGGTAGATTTCAAGGACTTTAAACGGACTTTAGTCGTTAAATTGAGAGGTAGCAGGTGTGGGACAATCACGTTATAAGGTTTGAGTGACTGAATAAAATATATTTTTTGGTCAAAAACATTTTACTTTTCAACATAATATCCTTTTTGCTCGATACACTTAGTCCAGCGTCTCCAATTTTTTTATCCCTTCGAAATAGTAGAATTTCTCGAGGTCCCCAAAATGTTCGCTTGTTTCAATGATGAACTCTTCATTGGACCCAAATCTCTTACCGCCCAGCCATTTCTTCAGGTTTGGCAGCAGGAAATAGTCGCAAGGGCTAAATCTGAAGAATATGCTGGGTGGGGTAGCAGTGCGTTTCTTAATTAATGGATTTTTGCTAAGGCGACTACACCCGAGTGCACCCGTGCATTGTCCCTGATGAAACAGGACTTTTTTCGCTAAATGCGACTGTGTTAGCTTCAAGTCAACATCGAATCTGACCAAAAGCTCTGAATAATATGCGCCAGTGATCGTTTTACCCTTTTCAAAGTAATCGATGTGAATGACACAGCGTGCAGCCCAAAAACTGTGTTCATCACCTTGTTGGCCGACAGACCCATTTTGGCCTTCTTTGGTGCACGTTCACCTGAAGAAACCCACTGTTTTGATTGTGCTTTGATCTCTGGTGTGTTGTGATGAATTCACGTTTTGTCAACGGTTTCGAAACGTCGCCAAAACTCGTTCGGATTGGGACGGAACAACGCTACACATTCATTTGAGATGGTCACACGGGAGCGCTTATGGTCGAGTGTCAGCAATCGCGGCACCCATCCGGCGGATAGCTGTTTTATATCCAAATATTTATGTAAAATGTGATGAACCCTCTCAGTTGAGATGCCTACAGTATCAGCCACCTCACCCACTTTTATTCTCCAATCGTTCAGTATCGTTCCATGGATTTTATCGACCATTTCTGGCGTAACAACCTCGTTTGGACGACCTGAACGTTCTGTATCATTTGTGCTGTTACGACCACAACGAAACTCAGTAAACCACTTGGTAACCATTGAAATTGATGATGCGGAGTCCCCATAGTATTTATCAAGCTTTTTCTTCGTTACTTTCATGGCTTATTGGTTGAGAAATTCACTTTTTCTATTTTCGTCGAAATTGACGAAGCCATCTCCTTTCAATGACTGTTAAACACGAACTAAATGACGTAGCGTGCTCAAAATTTCACAGCAGTCTCCTAACAAACGACAGTTGACGGGAGTATAAGAAATAACGACCATCGAATTCTCCTTTGCCAGGTGCTCTCCTGCTGTTAATTTTGCCTTTCCTGCAGCAGCCCTTATCTATTTGGATTCCTTATTATGTGGCCTAAATACTGACGTTTCCGACATTTTACAGTATCTAACAGTTCTGTTATCTTTTCATATGTCGGATTACTTCGGTGTTGGGAATTTTTTGTGTCCAAGATATTTTCAGTATTCTTCTGTACAGCCAGAGATCGAGCGCTTCAATTCCCCTGATAGTCTCTTTAGTGAATGTCCATGTTTCTACGCCATACAGAAGGGCCGAGAAAACGTAACAAAGCTTTGTCTAAGGATAGATTATGGCTTTTAAAAAGCGACCTCATTTTAATAAGCATAGTCTTCTTGATTGGACATCGTATTTCTTAAGAGTGGTTCTATCTCTCGTTAATGATTGTCCAAAGTATGTCTACCGCCTTACTCTTTGTATTCTACTGCCATGGATGTATAAACTGTCTTCCGCGATGTGTCTTTTACTTACTTTGAGGAGTTTGGGTTTGAGGAACTTGCGCATTTCATTTAAGCAGGCAGGCAGGATGGGTGGAATGCGCTAGTCAGAAACCCGAGCTGAAACCACAAGAACAACAGCCATACTTAGAACAACAGAGATGAGGGTGCTGAGGAACATACCCGGACATACGCTCAGGGACCAAATACCAAGCACCGAAATACGACGAAGGTGCGACACACGAAATATAGTTAGATGGATAAGGCAAAGAAGAACAGAATGGAATGATCACGTAACAAGGATGGAAGATCACCGGCTAGTCAAGATAGCGAGAGACGGGAGACCAAGAAGACGAAGACTACTCGGCAGACGACCGCAGAGTAGGGATGATTCGATACAAGTAAATACAAGTAGGTATTGATAATTGATAATTGATTTGGATACCGTGAACTTTGGAAATTGAATCGTTCTTTTGATACAAATGCTTGGCATTGAATTGAATTGTTAAAAGTGTAAGCAGGGTCACAGTCAAGACTATCGTCAGTCGTCACTGTTAACTGTGGTAGGGATGAAAGTACTAAAAGTAGGTACCGATCAAAGAGTAGAATTAATCGGAAAACCAACTAGCCTGGCCGCTAGCCATAGACGTAGTAAATATCTGTATTAATTTAATGACATTTGCTTGCCGCTTATGACAAACTAAAAAATATAACACTAAATTTATTCATGGCTACCGTTTTCCTGCTATTTTGTTGTTGATGCTTGTCATATTTATCAAATTGATTACCGAGTTGGCAAAGCAGCTTT